GAATCTTTCTAAGAGTAGAATGTGAACGTTTTAAAGCAATAACTGAGAAAATGACATGAAGGCTGTGTTGACCAGTTAGATGGAAGTATTTCAGATTGCATGTGAAAACCCCACACTGTACCCCAGAAGTGCATTAATGTACGTAGTTACCATTCGATTAAAAAAAAATTTATAAAAGGAAACAGTTCCTCATGAACAATTCACATTAACGGAAACCATCAGCGTGCCAGAGTGTAGACAGAATCTTGTTTTCCCTTCTGTAATAATTGTGATTAGGCTTGGTTTTGCATCACACCACATATGCAACGCACATACGCAAACACACACGCCACAGTGCCTGAAGCCAGATGATAGTTCACGTGTGGTACAGTGGCTCATCACAGACATAAGCTTCCTTTAAATTGTCACTCTACTGGTGACAACATGTACAATTCGTCTTTCAGCTCAAATAATGGCTGCAGATCCATCTTGCACCCAGTGATCAGACAGAAATACGTGGCAGGAGAAACAAACACCACATGTACTCACTATTACACTGAAGCTAATTGATCAGTCCACATGTGCACGTATGGTAGTAAAACTCAAGGGAAAGCAAGCCACTGAGGAAGGGGGGGGAGGGGACGGGCAAATTCACAATTAACTGGTATAACACACACTATACTGGTGACCGCCAGGCTTATAACTTTGACTCAAACTGTACAAAGCAATTTGTGTGACCTAAACATTTGTACCCCCACAATAATCTGATATATGAAAAGAAGAGAATTTGAAGAGCAAATGTTGAAGAACACCGCCTGAAAGTGACAGACCTCATCACCACCTTTTGCTAAGGACTCAGCCACACAGACAAACCTCACTACAGGTAGGGCTGAGAAATGCCCTGAGAAATGTTACCTACATGACCATGTGCCAAATGAAGAGTAGCAAACTTTATTATCGAGGAAAAAAGGAAGATTGAATATTAGGAATATCTAACAGCGGCATCCACAATTTCCAATATTTGGGGGTATCTCAAGGTAATATTTGCTGTCTCAAGGGTTTCATATTTGGGTTTAGCATTGCATGGAAGAAGAACAATGGTGCTTGATATGATTACAGTAAAATGTATAATGCGTAAATAAAATATACTAATATTTGCCCTATTATAAAACTAATTTATAGCTTTCATAGGAAAGCTATAACCCAATTTTAGCCCAGGAACATGGGGAGAGGGGAGCGGGAAGAGAGGGGAGGGTGGGTGGAGGAAGGGTGATTGATGGGATTACGCCTATGGTTCATCCTATAAGGGTACATGTGAATCTCTCTAAATGTAGAATATAAATGTCTTAACATAATAACTAAGAAAAAGACATGAAGGCTAGGTTAACCAGCTGGATGAAAGTATTTCAAATTGTATACAGAAACAGTACACTGTGCCCCATGATAGTATTAATGTACACTGCTATGATTTAATAAAAAAAAAAAAAAGGGAAAAAAAGATCTTTTAGAAAAGTGTATGTCCTTTCTAGGTGGAGTTGCTCCTCCAATATCTCAATAATTCTGGGTTCATTCCGGTGTCCTGTGATCTTGTCTTTATTCATGCTGCTGCCTCATCCTAAAATAGCTTTTGAACTCAATGGTGCCTTTTCAAATTCATATACCTTTCAGTGATAAACACAAGGGTTTTGTTCTAATGCATTTCTCACTACTCAAGGTTATAAATCAGAACTATAATATTATGATGTCTTCTTTGGTAATGAAAGCTTATGGGGATATATATATATATAGCAATTGTCAAATTTTTGAGAACAAAAAATCATGTTTGCATGGTATCCTATTTCTTATTCTAGCACTTGATTATGAGTCACATTTTTCATAGAGTTTACGATTTATTATTACTAAGTTTTTAGCCTTTTCACAGCAATTTGCAAAAATATTTAAAAAAATAAATTCCAACAAATTCTTTAAATTTCTATAAATTATTGAAATTAATTTAAATTTAGAAATTAATTTAAACTTATAAATTCTATAAATTCCAATAAATTCTTTAAATTATAACAATAATTTAAAGCTTTTCAAGGTAAATTAAGAAAATTGATTAGAATTATTATCTCAAAAATTATGTAATATTTAATGAATATTGAATAAAGCATTAAATACAATTTTACTTCCAAATAGTTTAGTCTTTCTGCAGTACAAAAATAGTTTCTACAACACATTAATATTCATTGTTCCTCAATATTTATCTTTTACTTTTAGAAGAAAAAATCATCCACTTTTCTTGTTAGACTTGTGGATCTTTGGCTTTGGTAATGCACATCTACCAAAGATATTAAATTCAGTCTCTGGCTGAATTCAGCCCCTAAGTTAAAATATTTCAAGTATTACTGTTTCATCAACACATCACAAGGTCTAACTATAGTTAGTAGAGGCCAACGAAAATAAAAACCTTCAAGTCTCAGACATTGGTTGCTCTTCGTGTTTTCAATTCTTGTAACAAATTCTTCAGTGTGTATCTGAATAATTTTCTGAAATTTTGAATTTTAATAATGTCTCTCTCATTCTTGTTCCATTCTATAATCTAACCAGAACAATGAATCACACCTAAGTGACAATATTAAACCCTTGAGAGCCAACGGGGAAAAGGGAACTCGTTTCTTTTCCCGAGAGCTGATGTTAGTGGG